CAAATAGCTGATGAACCGGCCGCGCGTGCTCGATTGCTAGCGGCCGATGACAACACAGACGATACGCACTGGCCGAGCAGCGCGCTAGAATGTGCAGGCTGACCATGATGATTAACACGTGGCCTCGAATTCAGCTGTGATGGCGATGTAAGACGCTCGGCCCATACTGATCTCAGAGGCCACCATGCTGTTTATTCTAAAACAGACTTAATGAAGAGAATAAAAGCTTCAAAATAAATTTAAACACCCCGCCTCTATTATAAATATCATTACGAAAAGTTTCTTCCAACACTTTTATTGCATCGGTGCACTTCTGCACTCAATGGAACGTCAAACAAATGAAAGAAGATGCATTTGGTTTGACTGCCCCACCCAACTTACTTTACCGTCCTTGACGCGATGACTTGTTTCATCGTAACCAATGAAACGCAGCGCGCTGAAATGTAGATTTGGCTTTTTTGTACTGTTGGCTGGTTCATAAGGAGGTGTCGCCAGAGCTCGGGAATGTCCCGACTTTCGCGAAACTCGGCCTATCCTGCATAGCGCTTTTGACAGCAGTACGCAAGCTAAGCCAGGGTAGTGCATGGAACTGCCAAAAGCACCCGAGAGATGGCGCTGCGTCAACAGAAACGCAAAACAAGATTTTTTGTTTTTTAGGTAGGAAAAAACAGAAAATTCCCACCCTTTTTCTTGCCTACCTGGTGCCTAGGCACCTACGCCATTACCTCGACTCATTCTTTATTCTGGGGCTCTCTTTTTAAACAGAAGTGGACAAAAGAGACCGGGAGTCGTGCAGAGCTACTGGTGTCTCGCTTCTTTCGCCGCTTGTTTTAAAGGAGTACTGGCACCTTTTTTCGAAGGCGAGTTTGTTCTGCCATAAAAATTTCCTGTATACAGAGATCACTCTGAGGAAGCGTGAAGCTCCGCAAATGCGGATATTTTATTTTAATGTAAAAGTAACATTTTTTCTGGTGATCCTATTGACATCAACACTAGCTTGACGTCGGGCTACAGTACTAAATTCGGTGGCTTCACGCAGCAGTCTGGCAAGTTGGGATGACGTCAGGCACAAAAAAAAAAAAAAACAAATGGCAGCTTGGCTGCGCGTCACCTTCTTGGTCGTCTGCTCGTGGCTTGCGGTCGCTATCATGCAGCGAACCTGTAAGGTGAGCGAGCGGAGTCTTGGGTATTGTGCGTCCTCGTCAGTACAGAATATACGCTGCTCAGAGGGCAAGGGAGTGATTTGATCTGAATCCGTCACCATTGCACAGATATTTTGCCCTGTGAAGTCTTGCGCTAGTGAAACGGTGCAAGTTCCACCGATTCCCGTCCGATCCGGCGCTGTCACAAGCATGGGTCGACTTCATGCGCCGCGGCCGAGTCTGGACGCTGACCAAGCGGAGTTTGCTCTGTTCACTTCACTGCAGGCGCGTACACATGCAGCATGCAGTTGATGACCGATTTTGGATTGTGAACAAGGAATCTGCGCCTCAGAAGTGATGCCGTCACAACGTGTCACCCTGCCGCAACAGCGCGTCAAGATGCTTTGACAGGCTGTTCTCAAAGGGACACAGGTGCAACAAGTTGAAACGTATTGGCGATCCCGAGTTACTTGCTCAAACAGAGGTTCCTGTCACAACTACGTGGCACGATGTGGGACGGCACGACACGGAGGCCTCAAGCAACAAGCGTTTCCGAAGAGATCCCAAGGTTCGTATTGATTACTGGCCGCGTTGTACGCGGCGTGCGCACTTTTGTTCACCTGTCTCGATGCTACACGTGCGGCGTGCAGCAGACGACCACTGAGCCACGGGCGCCCGGGGATAAGTCACGGTAACTCGCGCAAGAAAACAATAGCCGGAAAATTTCATGTCAGTACATATTTATGCACGTCGATACGCCCAGTAGCATGCCACGGCGCCCTTCGGAACACAGTGCGTACAAAGGGAAAGGCATTCATTGGCACCAGCAAGAACAATGCACGAGTGAGTACGGGGAAAAACATTTACAGTAAACCAGCAATATTTCAACAAAAATCTATCTAATAAATCTATCGTGTTAGATGCAATATCGAGAGTTCGCGAACGGCACGCATTCGTTTTTAGAGGCAATACGAAAGGACAAGCATGTCTTATTTGTAGGAACTATAATTACAAAACAGTCGCAAAAAATGGCATGAGGTGCTTCAGCGACAGCTTCGAACTACAGCTCCTGCTTTTGCCGAGCATGGCTTAACACCCCCACTTCTTATTGCATTACGACTTATTGCGTCCAAGCTAAGGACAGAGAAGGTGGTATTTTTCGCAAGAAATTTACGGTGGAGCGAAAGTAGAGAGAAGCGCAAGCATTCGCTTGCAAGATCAGTGCAAACGTGCGTACTACACAAATACACAACACTGTCTATGGTAAGAAGGTGTGAGAGGGAAATCACCGACAAAAAATTGAAATGCGCACAGTCGAAAACAGTATATATATATATATATATATATATATATATATATATATATATATATATATATATATATATATATATATATATATATATATATATATATATATATATATATACATGTCATTACCATGGAACTTGCAGAAATCGATGCCTTTTCTGGCATTACCGGCACCATACAGCAACAGAGGGACTATACCTACAGCAATTGCAGTGACTTGAATTAAAAAAAATGCTAGAAAGAAGACGGAATGCCAAGGACCACGGCAACGATCGGATGAAAACTAATTTCGCATATGCGCGTCGGCGTCTCTTTCGAACAGCAGCAGCACACGTTTTCCGCTTCGTCACTGTTAGGGTGGCTAGAACCCTATCACCGTCATCGATAAGAGAATCTATAGTATAACTCGCACGACATCGCATCGCGAAACAGATTTAGTGCTCAGAAGTAGTATACGCACAACGCGGAATTCAAATGTTAGTCTTCAAACAGGCAGAAAAATAAAACCTATTTAGCAAAAATATAGGCTCTCTTCGCTCTAAATTTTGATCTCATTATGGTATCCCTTGCGGATTTTTTTCAGCCCCCAAGAACAGTTTTGAACGGAGCCACTATGGTTCTTTTTTAGCTATCGATTTTTTCGCCCCCGTTAGGTGATGGGTGCAACTTGAGACTTTCTGAGGCCTGAGCAAACCACGAGCCTGCGCTACTTTCCCCTTACAAAGAATGTTATGGAATTTATGTATTGCGAAAGCACTGACCGATGCTATACGCACGTGCAACAAGGTGAGTTTCAACTGCAAAGGTCAGGCGTCAACATTTGACTAACCAATATGCCTGAAGAAAATCTTTCTAAGGTGATAAGACTACTCTGCGGGCTATAATTGAACGCACGCGTTGACTCGCATTTTCACGAAAACTTAGAACTCACTACGCAGTTTCACTAGAACGAATCAGATTTATCGCGTCACGGGCGGTCTGGTATACTTATTGACGATTGATTGATATTCATTCATTCATACAGATGTGGGATATGTGGGGTTTAACGTCCAAAAACCACCATTTCATTATGAGAGACGCCGTAGTGGAGGGCTCCAGAAATTTCGACCACCTGGGGTTCTTTAACGTGCACCCAAATCTGAGCACACGGGCTACGGCATTTCCGCCTCTATCGGAAATGCAGCCGCCGCAGCCGGGATTCGATACCGCGACCTAAGGGTCAGCAACCAAGTACCTTAACCACTAGACCACCGCGGCGGGGCGTATTCACTGATGCACAAAACAAGCAGAGTGGTTTGTGTTCTTTCTTTGCAAACGCACTTACAGCGCAGCCGAACAAGGGAGCGTCTGCCTACTGACCATGCTCGAGAGGACGCTCCTAAATTCCTCTATAGGCGGAGCGACAGTCAGTAACGTTAAGAAGCACTTACTGGCGGAGCACTGCCAGTAACGTTAAGAAGGCTGTCACGCCAAAACACTTAGGTGGCGTGCGCAACGTTGATGGGGAGGAAGAAATATGAACGCAAAGAGTGAAAATCATCCTTCGCACCAGCATTGAACACTCACGGGCAGCAGCAGTCAAGAATTCTACTACTCAGTGAAGCTGGCGCTTGAATTTTTTTTTTTTCAGAACAACCTAGTGGTCGCCGATGCATCAGACATGCTTATACTGTTCGCTATTAACCTTCATAGCAGCGTAACAATATATACGAAGCTATGACTCAATAAGTCGTGTTCAACCGTTTCGCGAGCATGGAGGAATACCCGGAATAGCGCTGGTCATGATACACACATAATCACGCCGCAGCGTCCAGTTCGTTTCGGTAAAACTGTTGCCCCCTAACTTAAGACCACCCTTTCGTCGTCAGTGTGAACGACATGCCTGGTAGGTCTATACCTAATGAAAAAAGTACATATTGCTCTAACCTACAACGCCTATTGCTCGAAGCAATAAAACCAGCTACTGCTTCGCATGGCTCGCACTACGTATGAGATCGATCGGACCAAATTTTTTCTTATATTTTCTTTTTAAAGTCGTGTGTACTTGTTGCGTTATTTTCATGATTCTGTACAAGTATAACGTATACGTTACTTTGACTTACCTTCATTTGCGCAGGCTATATAGAGTGCCAAAGAGCGCACGTAATATCCCAACGGTGAACCAGCTCAAGTTGCTGGGAATCGAGACATGACAAAGGGGATGCGAAGGCAACACACACCGTGAAACCATACTTGTGTTAGAAATTTCTGCACCTCACCAGTGATGAAAGCTTTGCCGCATTCTTTATTGTGCTGTAAGACAAAGAAATCCTTAGCCCGCACTATATATGCGGTGCATGGAGCACCAACCAGAGCATTAAGACAGAGGCATCAAGACATTCATCTGTAGGGCGCTCACGTGTTCTTGTTTGATTGCTTAGGTTACGCTGTGCCTTGCCACAGTAGGTCACTATGACCTCAACAACAACGGTAAATATATCTATGAACGAAACTGTGCGACGGCTGCTTTATTTGGCGTACGGGGTGGCGCCAGTGAACGAGTGGACGCACCTGGCCGAACGGCGCCTGCGGAGCGGAGACCGGCGGCGGCGGCGGTGGCGGTGGGGGTGGCGCGTGGTGAGTCCTGGGCGGCGGCTCCTTGAGGCCCGGCGAAGCACTCACGGGCGGCCGCAGTGGGGGTGCCAGGCCCATGGGGCGCGCCACCGGGGATACGCCATGCTGCATGGGGGGTGGAGGAGGGTGGTGGCCCGGAGGACCGAGCGACGGCACCAGCGGCGTCTGGAACATGGCTGCACGAGACCAAAGAGCACAATTCACTTTAAAGCGTCACTGTCAACGTGCGCCAATGCAGCAAACCACGAACAAGGCATGTTGCCCGAACACTGCTGTGGGTTGCCGCTGGTGGCTACACTCTAAAAAAAGAACGAGTAAAAAGGGTGTCTTTTTGTCCCACAACAATAATTGTCATCTATATTGCGTTCCATCTTTGCGCTATCGCCCCACGCCCGGTACATTCCGGCCACGATCGACATGCCCATTATCAGGGTTACATTGCATTATCGATAGGAAAGTGGCCAGCGCCGAGTTTTCAAGAAAAGAAGCGCACGCAAGCCTGATTACGATTATGGTTGTGGGACAAAAAGACACCCTCTTTAATCGATATTGATTGATTTGTGGGGTTTAACGTCCCAAAACCACCATATGATTATGAGAGACGCCGTAGTGGAGGGCTCCGGAAATTTTGACCACCTGGGGTTCTTTAACGTGCACCCAAATCTGAGCACACGGGCCTACGACATTTCCGCCTCCATCGGAAATGCAGCCGCCGCAGCCGGGATATGAACCCGCGACCTGCGGGTCAGCGGCCGAGTACCTTAGCCACTAGACCACCGCGGCGGGGCCTTTAATCGATATTTTCTTAGAGTTTACATTGCACCAAATTGGGTACTCTGGAACCCCGCTTGGCTACAAAAACATGGTTGATCCCTCTGTCACAGTATATTGGTGAAACACGAAAGTAAAACGTGTGATAACAGAAGTAGCATAATGCTTACTGTACATTGATGTGAGAGAGCTTGGGCAATGCCTATTGGCGCTTGACAGCTATGGCACCGCTTAACGTGAATGCATCCACGGTGGCGCTTGGTTGTACATCGTTATCCCGACACCTAACGTCAGTCATTACCGATTACACCAACTATTGTGGTGATAAGTGCTCGTGGTAGCTGTAGTATAGTTAACGGTGAGGGCAGAGACAGAGAGACCGATGTGACGGCCGGAAGATCATGATTGATTGAACGCCGGACTGTGGCTAGATCGCCTTCTTGCGGCATGTTGGCGTTGTTGAAGATTACAGCCCCATCACCGGGAGCCACAACATGCGGCGTGTCTTTCCTTTGGCATGCCGCGATGATTCGCTAAATCTGTATTCACACGACGGACGTGATCGCCGACGAATCAGTTACGTAGCATGCGAGGTGATTGTGGCAGCATTCACATGACCGGAGAGAATTCCCGCTGCAAGCGATGATTTTGGCATTGCTGGCCGACGATTCCAACTGCAATTCGAGCCACTTCATCCATTTCTCCGCACGGACCAATGCGGGGACGAATGAATGGCTGACGTAAAGTGACGTATGACCAATGGCGTGCCAACTCTTTCGCAATAGGGGGGGGGGGGGGTAGATGATCAGCCGGGCTATATATATCCAGAGGGAACTTCATTGACGTGCTAGCACTTTTATATGGATTCGCACACAGAGGTGACACGACGCACTTTAATAAATACCACCAAGTTCAATCACACTTTAAAAGGCCTAAGCAAGGCGCCCTCAGCCCTATTTCCGCGTCCAATATGCGACGCTCATCTTGCGATCACGCCTCCCTCTCTTTTGCGGATTATGCTTTGGCGGTTTGACGGTTAACATCTACAGATACCACAATAGTTTGTTCAATAAATTTATCATGAACGTTAGTCGTCCTAGTGGAAATGTACCAAGCGTCAACGAGGACACATATATAAACGTTAAACGGGGCTATAGCTGCCAAACACCCAGACATACATTCGGCGAACCCTCATTCATTGATGTACAGTAAATGTTCGATTACCTTTGTAATGGTGCGTTTTAATTTCCCGTTTTACTGCTGCTATAGCTCCAACTTCCAAGATACCATAAGCAAGGCTGATCAGATTTATCAAAGACTAAAGTGGAAACAATTTTCGGCGTTTCAGAGCGGAAGAACTTAAACATCAAAACAATTCATCACACTCATCGGCTCGCAACAGCCCCGACAGAGCAGCGATGATGATATACCCTTTTCAAAGAAAATTATTTTCCAGTCCATAAAAAGTTTGCTTGTTTTAATCCGTAACTGCATCAAGAACTGACAGCAATACAAAAGCATGAACAAGTGATGTATTATTATGGGGCCCCTGTGTAGCGCTTGCCTCCGCTGCAATACTACAGCGCAAGACGCAAAAACGTCGCATAGGCGACCCGCACCGCGAAGAACCTACAAGAATTATCATCATAGCGGAAATGTTGGCAAAATTTCAATATGTGGTAACATTGCCTCGCAACATTTTCCTTCTCCCGTTTGAACATGATTGAGTTATTACTGTTGTGACGGAAAACTTCGCCTTACTTGTTGGTTCCGCAGCCTGCAGCTAAGAGCGACCACTGTCAAAAGGGGGGGGGGGGGGGGGGCTCAGCCCTACCCCCAACTTTTACCCTTTTGCCGGTGGGGAGGAAGGATCGCGCCCTTTTGCCCCCCCCCCCCCCCCCCCCCCCCCCCCGCTGGTACGCCTATGCGTAGTACGCAATCCGCAGGCTCGAATCGCGATTTCGTTCGTTGTGTGAACACAGGGAGAGGGAGGAGAGATGAACAACAAGAAAGAAGGCAGGGAGGTTAACCAGGCACATGCCCAGTTTGCTACCCTACGCTGGGGAATGGGAAGGGGGGCATAAATATAAGAGAGAGAGGAAAGAGAAAAGAAATAAAAAGGATTGTCAGTCAATGGGCAGACGCGTATGCAGCGGTGACACTACACAAAAGTTAAAGGTGGTCACGTGGGACTGTAGTCCTCAAAAAGCACAAGACAGCTTTGACTGCTTTTTGAGCCGACGAAAGGCGAGGACGGTGTTTCAGTAGCATCTGCATAGAGAGTGGTCGATCGTCCAGTTGTCGCAATGCGTCCGAAAGCTTCTGTCTTTCAGAGGCAAATCGAGGGCAATGGCATATCGGATGGTCGATGTCTTCTTTGGTGCAGCAGACGTCGCATGCCGCATTGTCGGTCAATCCGATGAGGGTTGTATATGCTTTTGTGAAGGTAACCCCCAACCAAATGTGACAAAGAAGCGAAGCTTCACGTCAACTAAGTCCGGATGGAGGTCTAAGTTCCTGTCGAGTGTTTATTTGGTAGAGTCTCGTATTTCTTATGCTTGGGGTGTTTCACCCCAGCAAGCACAGACTACGTGCCAGGTGACGAAGTTGCTTTGTAGCGTCAGTCCTTGAAAAGAAATCGGAAGGGTGTGCTTTTCTTGGTGCGATGTGCGAGCCACGTCGTCTGCGGAATCATTGCCACAGCACAGGGAACGCGGAGGAACACGGAGGTAAAGCCCGGCGAAGCCGGTGGGCGCTCTAGAGCTCTCTTTCGTGTTATGGATGGATGAGCGACGGCGACGCTTGGGGTAAGGTCGCCACCTGATGTGTTAAGGTGTTGACAAATTGCCATGTAAACACACTAAATTCGACGGACGCTTAAAACAACGCGTTGAAGGAATTAATAACGTATTCCCGGTGATGCTGCATTACTGCATTTGACCAAGAACGCTGTGCAGCTTTGAAAGCTGCATTTTTAAATGTTTTTCTAACTGGCTGCGGCGCAGTGGATAGCGTGCCCGGCCTCTGTTGTCGCACATTCAGAGGTAATCGGTTCGACCAACGCCTCGTTTTTTTTTTTTTTTAGCGCCAGCCAGATGCACCCGATCTAGCCCGTTACCACCTCGCCCTTTCATGCTTTCGCCTTCGCGTGTTCTTTGCGGTCGTGAAAGAGAGAACCCTTTATGCAGTGCCTCACGACGGAGATGCAGCAGGCACCGTGATGTATTTTGCTTTGTCACGATGGAAGTGCGCGCTTATCATTTGTGCCAACCGTATTTACATATGCCAAAGTAGGCGCCTATCACGTGAGAATTATTGCGTCCCATTTTGTTCTCGTATTGCTAACAGGTGCAAGCCGGCTCACTGCGGGGTATGCAGTGTGTAGCGCCAAGCCATGAGTGTTCGCGTTACGTGCAGCAGCTGCGCCCATCGGATGTTACCGTCAGTCATCTAGGCACCAGTTTTGCCAAATAAAGTGGTTGCCTAAGACTGCCTTTTGAGTTCATGCGGTACAAGTCAGAACACTATACGTGACAATACGAAGTATATTTTGTTCATTTCTTTCCAGATGCGTGGGCGGCCTCTTGCGTTGCTCGTGTTCACAATATTGGCAGTCACGCTGACTCAGTAAAAGGGTGTTTCGAGATAGCGTGTTGCTGTTCGTGGCGCTATGCAGGCAACCAATCGGGAAGCGCCGCTACCTTATGCGCAGAACTATGATGTGGCAGCGGAAGTGCTTCGAACCCTAAAGAGCGAGAACGATGGAACAAATCTGACAGACGTGTGGTATTGCAGTGAAAACACGCCTATCGCCATCATGTGGCTACATTTTTGCTGCTTTGAACTTGTGCATTGGCGCAATTATTATAGCTATTTTTCTTTAAATCCACGGTTCTGTAGTGGTTACGAACGCAGAAGTCACAATTCAATGGAGGTGAAATGCTGGAGATCTGTCTGCTGTGCTCTCCCAGTGCCCAATGAAGATTAACAGACGGTCGAAAAATCCGGAATGTTATGCATGCGTCTCTACTAATCACATTGTAGTTTCGGGAAGTCACACTCCAGATATCTATAACTTTCCTATAATTCGCAAGTTAAAGCAGAAGATGGGCACACCACTGTTTTCTGTTTTGCTGTCGCGTTAGCCGACGCACGCCCATGTCGTCGCCTCGGCTGCACGCTGGCGTGCATCGAGGCACCTTAACGCTAAGAGGAAGTTGGCAGACGCATGGCTAGCACGCTTCTAACGCTGCCTACTATCTGTTCATAATGCTTGAAGCACAGCGCATTTGCTCAAGCGAGTACGGTGAAAAAAATTACACGATTGATTGATTGATTGATTGATTGATTTACTGGATGAATAAAACTTTATTTTGGCCTAGAGAAGACGCAGGGAAGACCCCGC